CCCCCCACACCGCAGCCACCACCGTCTTTTTTAAAAAGAAAGAGAGAGAGGAGAGAAAGAAAAAAAAAAAAACACAGAGCCCTTTTTTCCTGTTTTTGTTTTTAATAAACACTGAAGAAAAAAAAAAAAAAAAAAGGCCCCTTCCCTGGTTGGGGCTGCTGCAGGGTAAACTGAGGCACTGCTGCTGTTCCTGGAGTCACTATGGGGTCCCCCGGCTCTTGCTGGGCTCGGAGGGGCTCCTGCGCCTGTCCCTGCTGGCGCAAAGGGCTGTGCCCAAATCCTGCCCCAGGGTGGGGGGGGTGACCCTGGCAGTGACGCTGGGACAAAGGGCTGTTGGGGCTGGAGGGGAGCAGGGGCCACCGCGTGTCCTTGGGGGCCTCGTGGGGTGTCACGATCTGCTGAAGCAGCAGCCTTGGCGCTGCTGTCCCTGGAGGGGGTGGCATGAGGGGTGGCCTCAGTGCCCGTGGTGTCCCCCGAAATGATGCCCATGGAGCGGAGATGGTGCCTGTTGCATCCATGGAAGTGACAGCTCTGGGGGTGGCTCTGGGCCCCCGCAGATGCAGCTGCGGTGCCGGTGCCCGTGGGGACGGTGACGTTCCCAGGGAGCCGCCCCAGCCCGCGCGGCCCCTCACACGCTGCAGCCCGGCCCGAGGTTGCATGTACAGGTTTATTTTTTTTTGTCTTCCACAACAGAGAAATACAAAGAGCATTTTTTAACTTTTTTTTTTTTCATTTTTCCTTTTCTTTTGTGAGTGTCGGCATTTGGCGGCGCTACCCCGTCCCCGGCAGGACACGAACGTCCCCGTCGAGGCCGCGGCCTCCGCACGGCTGCCCGTGACCCACAGCAAAACAGAGGGCAGGGAAGAGGGGACGGGGGGAGGGATTTTTGTTCGTTTTCTCTTTCCCCCCCCCCCTTTTTTTTTTCCTTTTTTTTTTTTTTTTAATAAGGTAATAACTAGCTCTAGAGACATGTGGCCCGGATTTCCACCGAGGAAAAAAATAAAAAAAAAAGCGCCCCAAAACGGGGAAAGAGAAGGGCGAGGTGAGGGGAGAAGTGTTAACAGTTTGTATAAGAGGCGTATTTACACGGTATTAACATGCTGACAAAAAAGATTACAATATTGAGTATCGTACAACATCGATTCGGAAACGAGGAGCCAGAGGCGGGAGGGGATCGGGGGAAAAGGCTGCAGGGATCAAATTAATAAACAGGAGGGGATAACCACCCTGGCAAAACAACGAGTTAAGGCTTAAAAAGTGTATAAAAAATAACACAGTTAATATCCAAAAAACGGAACCAAAGAGTACATAATATATATGAGTTTCTTGTCTAGCTTTTCTGCAAAGAGGGGCAGGCAGCGGCACCCGCCCGGCTCCGGCCGCGGGGTGCGGAAGCCCCGGAGGAGCCGG